AATTTCCCTTAAGTATATAGCCAATAAACCGCAGTTTCACAATAAATGTGTCATAAAATATGTCACTGTGCTCAGTAAACATCTTGAAGTTGCTGACGTGACACATATCTACAGAAACAGGTGACAGAGGAAGCTCGGAAGATCATCTGAGGCATATGACCGATCAGACAGTCTTACTAATAGTCTGCAGGTCTGACAGTAATCCATGTATCGACACATTCGCCGTGAGCTTAACGTCATTTTACTGCTTAGGTGCTTCAGGCGAGTTCCTGCAAATACACTGCCGTGATGACGCAATTAGGCATTGCCTTCCTACACCCTGATTTCATGTTGCTCTTTATGTCTTCATCGATTGGGTGGCTTAATCTCTCAAAGCTGCTGTTTTTCGGCTTAAAAACTTATTCATACTCCTTTCAACTGTTCCACACCTTTAAAATGTTGCAACCAGATTTCAAAATGATTTCATTGGTATTCAATGAGTTAGGCTCTAAAACCCCTTAAGAAAGTCCAAGGAAGCCAACGCATAAAACACCTTCTAGATTAATTCTATTTAGGAGTTTAACAGTAAAAGGGGATTTATATAAATGTGCTGTAAACTGCTCAATGTGTTTTATTTTCTTCCACTTCTCAATTATGCTTTATTTTGTATCTGTCTATCTGACTTTAATGCATTGAGGTTTGTGGTTCTAGCCCTACCTTATCCACATATTGTGTTTGTGTTCCTAGGTGTGATAATAAAACCCAGTTTCACTTTCCAGCATAAATCATTTATGAATAGCAAGGACCTACTGTTACCTAGCCACAGAGCTGTTTGCTGAAACAAATATTCAGAGGCGTAATGCAAACACAGGCTGGCTTTAACGGCTGAAAGCAGGACTCTAATCTCCTCTCTCCTGCTTATGAACGCCTGTAGACTTGAGAGAACAGGCCAAGACTCTCCCGATGTTGTTATTTACAGAAGGAAATCCCTCATTGCTGCCGACGTACACTCGACAACTTCCTGCTCGCTTCCTGTCATCAGCTGGCGACCAGATAAAGCGGCTCCGTTGTTAACAGCCAGCTGTGAAGCTGGTGAGGTGGACAGCAGATAAAGCCTCGGATGGTTCCCTAAAATTAGGAGTGCTGTGGGCTGTTAGAGTTCAGGGAGCTCAAGTAGGCAACAAAGATTAACATGGCTCTGTTTATTAAAGCAACATGCTGCTGCATCTGGCACTTCTCACTGAGACTGAAGCATCGCAGGGCTTTAAAACACTCCCTCAATTATGTTACTGTCAGGCCACTCTGGGCTCTGTTTATTGTGCTTTCAGAAATGGAAGAGACAGAGTTCTTCCTGACCAGATCTCTCTTTGCTTCGTCTTTCTTCCCCTGAATTAAGAAGTTATAGACAGGATTCGATCCATAAAGGCTTTCTTCACTGACTCCTCCAGGATTGGGTGAAATTTAAAAAAAGAAAGCCATTGCGAGACGAAAGATTTATTGTGTTTTACAGTCGGAGCAGCACATAGTGGAGCTGAAGTGTTTTCTCTGTGAAGCGGATCGCTTTGCGGACCACTTGGCCCAAACCAGAACAGCAAAACACAAGACTGTTGGCCTGGCAACAGAGGAAAACTTCCCTACTAATTAAAGTCCACCCTGGCTTATGAAAGAAGGATGGGAGGGAAAGAAGGAAATCTGCTTTGAAGACTATTGAGCAGATCTTTACAGACAGGTCCGGGCCAGGCTAGAACGTCGCTTCGGCAGCAGACCTCGAAAAAAGCAGTGAGAGGATTCTGTTGGACTTTGTGGTCCGAGGTCTCTGGGAGTTGAAGCTGGAGGCTGTAAGGATTCTGGATGACCTCTGCTTGCTAGTTTGGTTGATCCAAATCCCCCAGTGGGACTCGAAAATATTTATGCAGCTGGAAATAAAACAAGGCTGGCTGTTTAAATGTGAAGCTGATGTTTAAACCAGATTCAGATTTCATTTGGCTGTAATTTTAATCCTCTAATGGCAACTCATTTTAAAGGATGCAAACTATGTTTTTAAAGACTTCTTGAAAAAGCATGATAGTAACAAAGTTCTTTCCAAACCAAAAAAGTTATTCGTACCCTTTTTTTTTGACAAATTTAAAATTCCTGATGGGGTTTGTTTTTTCTGCACTCGGACCAGCCAATCGGACATTAATGGATTTTGCCTTCTTTAAGAGCACTAACACAAGAATGAACATTTGTTTCCAGTTTTCTCCTGTGGCCTTGCATTAATTATATTTTTAAAAGGTTGGTTTAAGCCCAGTTGGTATTAAAATTTGTTTTAGCTTCTTCCACTTCCTAACCGATGTATTTGCACCCCCAGGCTAACTTCTAACTTGAATCGAATAGTGGGTTAAAGGTGTAGTTTGTGAGTTTCCAATTCCCAGTCAGAGGTGATGAAAGTTAATCAGCCACTGGTCGATCCCTATATGCATCCGCCCCCTGTTTAATTGTTTTACCATCTCCAATAAGGACTTAACACAAACACCTTTTAAATGCAAAAAGTGGCCTTTGAAGTTTTTCATGCTGAGCCAGAAGAGCTTTGAGGGATGAGGCTTTGAGGATATGAAGTGTGTTTCCTCTCTGCTGGTGCAGACGGGCCAGCCGCTTCTGCCTGACGCACCAAGAACAAAGCCAAAAAAGGAATGAAACTGCTGTGGAGCGCGGCGAGCCTCGCCAGCTGCCAAACTATTCCTGTAAAAGCACTCTTTCTTTCTTTCTTTGGAGGCCTGAGTAGGAGAGCTATGGGGAATGTAAAGGAAAATGTATACAAAGAGGCAGACATGTTGATCTGATTGTGTTGCTTTGTGCGGTCGGGGAGGACTGTAAGGAGAGCACCAGGTGGGGACGGGCTGGAATGATCGGAATGGATGCTTGCGGATTAATGGGTATTTATTTGGGCCTGTGAAGTCCACTCTGGAAGGAAGCATATAACCAAAATGAAAAACCAAAATGGCTTGGAGAGACTAATCAGTCATGCTGCTGTTGGCAGCAGGACCTAAAGAGAAAGGGAGGGGAAGAGGGGGTCTGCACTGTCACAGATTAGAAAAAAAAGAATAGTTGAAAGACTCCACTGATTATCCGACATCTGGAAAAGATTTGGGCACGTGAACTTGGTGGACTCCAGACAACATGCACCGCTGGGATGTACAGTATATTCTGAACAGTGAGGAACTCGTCATTCTCACATGCAGCACACATTGCTGAACATTCTTTAAGATTTACAGCTTCTTTCCAAGAGACCAATATCTTCTTCCTGATGCTTGTGGAGAGCTGCGCTCCAGTCCTGTGGTTTCCATAGCTTGTATTCTCTTAAAGGATCCCATATTGCTCTCATTTACAAGTTTGGGGTTTAATTTCAGGAGCCTGTTAGAGGGAATTTACAGACTTTTATCACAGTGTGTTGCTGCTGACTCTGATATCTTATTTTATGTTAGCAAACATTACCTCCAAAGAAATGCAAAAAGCCCTTGATCAAGTTATAATACATGTAAATCATATGAGACTGTAAATGCTTTAGTCAGAAAACCAAAAAGCACAATCATTTTCGGAAGTATTTACAGACCCTGAACTTTTCCACATATATCCTACTGGTATTTTATACGACAAACCAAGCATCCCACCAAAACACACTGTATTGCAGATGATACATGGTTCTATAACTGAAGAAAACTAACCCTGAACATCAAGCTGCTTTTTTTTTTTATTGGGAAGATGGCTGGTTAAGATTGGCAATGAAGCCAAAGGGCTTAAGACTGGAACAGAGGTTCACCTTTTAGCAGGAGAACATCATGCATTCACAGATATAATGGGACCGTTTGGATCAAGGTAAATTCATGTGTTAAAATGGCCTAGTTAAAGTCCAGAGTTTTGTGTGAAAACTGTTTAACAGAGCGTGAAAAGAAATAAAACCTGATCACAGAATTTTTTTTTATTTAAAAAGCACAAAAACACTTGCAGCTGCAATTGCAGAGAAAACTATTTCAATTAAAACATGTATACTTTCCTTCCAGTTCACTTTTATGCACATGTTGTTATGCTCTGTCACATAAAACCCTAAGAAGTTTGCTCCATTAATGTGACAACATATGAAAAAGTTCTAGTTTTGCAAGACATTGTATATACAAGGCACTTTAACCACTTTAGGATTAGAGGAATCCTTAATTTGACGTATTTTTGAATTTATGGGTTTATATATACAAAAGTTATAAACCAAAGTGAAATTAAAGGGATCAAAACAACTTAACAACATACGGTTTCTTTGAAAGTTTATTAGCTTATGTAAACTTTGGTGTTTGCCTGAAGTTTCAAACTTTTCTCCTCCACAATGACATGACCACGGTCATGTCAAGTGGGCGCAAACCTTGACGACCACAACTCTGAGGAGACACAGCATTTCATCGTCAGGACCCATCTCTGGCTGAATGACGCAAACACTGCAGTTCTGCTTTCCCCAAATCAGCTAAACATTTTAGTCGAAGGAGCCACACCTAGCTTTAGGGGAAAACAGCGCCTGCAGCTCTCCAGTTATCTGTTTCTGAGGCAATATTCAGCTGTCAAACAACTGCTGCAGAGTGGTTCTCCTCTCACTTACACTTCTGGGCAGATTTCTGTAACACGTTTAAAGTGCTATCAACAGCCTGGCTCTTTGACAAGTCTTTGTTGAAGGCTAGAAGCTGATAAACTACCAGTCCCTGCTGCCGGTGCCGTTGTTTCCTCCCTAGACGTTGTGCATATATTCCAGTTGTGTGACCAAACTTCGGGCCTAATGGAGCCAAGGAAAAGCAGCTTCGCTCTCGTTAACAACTGTCAGGAAAACTGAGTTTTTAAAGGTTGACATCTGCCTCTTGTGTCATGGAGGAACTGAAAACAGATGCTGGATTTGTAATTTTTTAACTGTTACCATGTTATCCCCCCTCACCACCAACCTACTGTAAGATGGTGAGGATTAAAGGAAGCTGACTGTATGTTCTGATCATGATTCTTCCTCTCAGGAACGCGGCCCAACTGAAGCAGCTGCAGGACCAGATTCTGTTGGAGCAGCAGGAGGCAGCCATCTGGCTACAGCAGCAGCAGCACCAGCAGCACATCCAGGAAGCACCGCCTCCACCCTTGCAACTGCTTCAGGAAGCACCTCCACCTGCTCCCCCCTCGCCTCCTCTCCCTCCTCCTCCCTCCTTCCAGGAGTTGGAGAGCAGCACAGCCATGCAGGCCAGTACCTTCAACTACGCTCGGCCCAAGCAGTTCATTGCTGCTCAAAGCCCGGGTGGGGTGGGCTACATGGCCAACTCCTCCGGTTCCTCTGGGTCCAGCCTGTCCTCCCCCTTGTCTCCACCCATCTCTCACAAGCCTTTAAGCAGAGTCCCCCTGCCCCCTTTCTCCAAGGCTGGTAGCGTAGAGTCTCCAACCTCTCCTTCCTTCCCTCCTCCTCCTCCTCCCTTCCTCAGCCCCAGCAACCTGTCCTCTCCATCCAGCTCCACCCAGGACTTCCCCCCTCCTCCACCTCCTCCCCCTGCGCTCATCCCCATGTCTCCAGCCAGCTCAGATATGTCGTCACCGTTCTCCTCAGTGCCTCCATCTCCTGCCTCCAGCTTCCTGTCCTCGGTGTTGCCCTCCTCACCTTCCACACCTGGCAGCCCTACAGTCAACAGCCTGGGTCTCCCCAAAGGCAACGGCACTGTGTAAGTCTCTTCATTTATACGCTCTCTTTGGAGGTAAGCATTGTGCCCAATGGGACATGCAAGACATTTCTGCACAGCATGAACCAATAACAGAGTTCAGTTTGACCCAAACGGCAGAGAAGGGGTAGATGGATGGGAAATGACACGTTTACAGTTTTTTATTCGGCAGAAAACTGATAAAGCAGTGAGAGAGAAGGTAACATTTACCAAAGGTTTAACAGAAAGAAAATAAACCACCTGACCTGAGAGTGAAAGGTTCTGGGGGGTTCTAGTCGGTGAAAAAACACACATGCCTTTAATTTTAGAGTCAAATATGCAACCAGAGGAGCACCCAATTTAACTTGTTATTTTTTTTTATCTAAATATCAAATTTGTAATATATTATATATGCAATAGAGTAAAAGAAAATCACTTTTTGGTTTTGGTTTTTCCACCTGAAAGGTAAGAAATTTGTGTCCAGATTTAAGGCGTCCTCTGGCGACACGCTCCTCTTCTCTGAATCCTGCAGGTCCGTCTTATATTGAGTGAAGCCTTTTATCGCAGGCATGTCTCCTCTGCAGATCTTTTTTGGCTCTTTCTTGGCCAAACATGCAAACTCGCAGAAATAACTCCAGAGAGATCAGGGAGAGCTGAGAGCAAAGGTTGTACCTGTGAGATGGAGTCAGAGAAGCAGATTACAAACAGAAACTGAAGATTTGGATGCTTAGGAGTGCTTCATTCAGCACTCCTAAGCACTCCAGCATACTTACAAAACAAGCAGTTAGGTATTTCAAATACTGATCTGGAATACTTAAGTTTTTCAGATCTGTAAAAACAACTTAAAATAAAAGAAAAAGCTTTTCAAACCCACCAGGCCTTAAAAGAAAAAGTAATCACTCCCTGGACCTAATAACTATACACACTTTCCTTAGCAGCATAAATGGTCCTTTCTTATATCTGGTGTAATTCCTGTTTTACCCGCCTCTGAGGAAAACAATCTTTTATTCGGCCATGCTTTAGGGTTCATCACGTTTGAATTTCAGTCCACATTTTAACAGAGCGTACCCTAAAACCTGCGCTCTAACTTTGTCTTAAACCCATCAGATGTGGTTCTGTTAACAAACTTTGGATTATTTTCCTGCTGCATCCCTGAAAAGCTCTTTAGCTTCAGGTTGAAGACAACTAAACAGATATTATTCTTCAGTATTTTATGCCAGACAGCAGAAATGAAAGCTCCATTAATGACAGCATATCATTCAGGTTCAGAAGCTGCAGACTGCCCCAAACCACCACAGTACCAACGCCATGCTGGACTTTTAGTCAGACACGTTCCTCCTGAAACGCTGTTTGTTTCCAGCCACTGTTAGGAGGCTTCAAGTTAATTGAACTAATGAACAACAAAGTTTTTGTTTTCTAACCTGCTCTGAATTTCTGTAGATTGGACTATTGGTTCCTTCCTCATGATGTCACTGTGGATATTTTATTTCACCATAAGACTAAAAAAGACATAAGTAAACAGGAAAAAATAAAACACACACATATGATGAGATATGTATCTCAACAATATCCTATCTGAAGACATTTTTTTTGTTGCTAGAAAAGAACATTATTAAGTTTGCGTTCCTGAGATTGAATGAAACCATTCACTTTAGCCAGGCATCTTTTATTTTAAATAAATTTCCTTTTAGCTAAAACATTTTTTTATATAATTAACTTTCTGTGGAGCTATTTTACTGTTAAAGTTTTAGACAACACAAATACTATTCCTTCAAGCTGCCAGGACTATAAAAAGTAATGATGCGAATCAGTATTTAATTAAATTAATACTTCTTTTCATTGGATATTAAATGACCTCCCAGAACATGAGATGCTGCTTGTCAGAGAATGATAGAGATGTGAAAACTCATTAATATGCATAAATTTAGCAACAGTCTGGTGGTTCAGGTTGTTTAGATGTTCTGGTTGAAGCTTGCAGCACTGCAGCAGATTAAGTGAAGTGTCTCTCGGTGTCTGCAGGATCCTGGTCCTGTAGCAGCTTTCTAATAACCTTCTCAGCTCCCCCCACTATCTCCCACAGCGCCCCCCAGACTGGACCTACATGCACATATGCCTAACCCTGTCTGTGCCTGATTTGACATTTTCATTTCGATCTTGACTGATAAAAATCTGTCCCGATGGCACATCTTTCATGCTGAAAAGGGAAAGTTATCTAATTTCTTCAGTCATGGGCATTCCACCTTAATTTGTCTGTCAGTTATTTTTCATCAGCCCCTCACTCACTCTCCCCCCTCTTCCTCCGGCATTCCTGCTGCATTCGTGGAGAGATAAGAAGATATGGGGTGGAATGCAATAGCTGGACATGTCCAGATAAGGGTTAGAGAAAGAGAGAGAGGATCCTGGTAATGATGCAGCAGGAGGAAATAGAGTTTCGAGATAACGAGTGTCTGCGTGCGAGTGAATGTAGTTTCATAAATATATTTTTTGCATTTGTGTCTTTCTTTTAGCAAAGTCTTTCCAAGGAAGTCCTCGGTCACCAAGACGCCTCGCATCGTCTCTGACTCGGACATCCAGGGCTCCAAGGATGCCGTCATTCAGGATTTAGAGAGAAAGCTGCGCTTTAAAGACGAGCGCATAAGCAACGGTCAACAGGTGTGTTTTATCTGTGTGTTTGATCTAAGAAGGAGCGTGTTCAATCTTTAACATGGATTAACGCGTGTTAAGAAGGCAGTTTCATTTAAGCATAGTTTTACAGCTGCAGTTGGATTCATCTTTAAAGAAACATAAACCATTTTAACACCAGGCCGGTGTGGAAAAGTGTGTTTGGTGCAACTGACGCTACTAACCCTCACTGACCTCATTAATCCCTGCTTCCAGAGGTTAACCTATGAAGAGAAGATGGCTCGCAGGCTCCTGGGGGCCGACAACGCTGCCACAGTTTTAAACACACAGGACACAGAGGAGGAGCCAGTTACACAGGTACAGATACCATTCGTTTGGGGACCAACACTGCTGGGGCCAGATGCAGAAATGATAATCATTCACTGTCTTCACACATCACACCACAACACAAAAATGCTTCAGCCTTGTAATGTGTTTTTATTAACTTATTTCTATAATAAAACACATAAAGAAGGAACTTGTCAAAGAAACACTTAAAAGTGAGTTAAAGTACAGTTATTAACTTTAAAGCATGTGTTCATTCTCAAGCATACTGTATATATCTCTATGCTTTTTGTTCATTACATACAATAGCATGAATGAGGGAAACACTTCAGCAAATCTTTATAAGCCAGACTATTTTGTAGGAATAAAATAAACATAATTGGCTGTAGAATGTAAAATAATGCCTTCTCTTCCTTTTTTATTATTATACTTTTTTGTTTTGTTTTTATGGCGCTAGTGGCTTATTTTTTTTGACAGTAGGCTGACAGGACAGGGGGTATGAGAGAGGGGAAGAGACATGCGGCAAAGGATCACTGGTCAGATTCGAACCCAGGTCAGATGCATCGAGGACTAAGGCTTCCAAAGCACAACCTTCCTACATTTAATTAGAGGGAAAAGCATCCTAGGAACTTTAACCAGGATATGCTCCCCTGAACACACCATCAGTATTAAAACATGGTGGTGGCAGCATGATGCTGTGATGATCCTTTTCTTAATCAGAGACAGGAGAACAGTCAGTCTGCAAAGATTTACAAGCTACCATTGCTTAGATCGAACAATATTAACGTTAGAGAGTACATTTGTGGTAAAAGGTAGTTCTTAAATCAGAAGTTATTCCACACTTTTCAGATATTTTTTTCCAAATTAGAAAAATGCATCATTGCTCTTCCACTTTCTAATTACCGGTACCTATTCTTTTGTATTGGTCTTTTTAATGCAACATCCCTACATAAAATATAGAGGTCTTGGTTTTTAACGTGAGGGAATGCAGAAAGTTCAAGGGGTTAGGAGTTTTTTTATGGCACCTCAGAGTTGACATAAAACATCTACAGACAAAAACGTATCTGCGATCTTTATTCAACTTGAGAACCAAACCAGTTCTGAGTCGCTGTTTAGGAAAATCTTTCAGTGAGAAATGTGACTGAAAATTAACATCAATTTCTAAATACTCTTTCCATTTGGAACATTTCTATACTTCTACACAAATTTAAAAGAAAAAAAAAACACTGTAAACATCAGGCAGACCCTGTGAACGTTTGTTTATGCATCTGGCCCCAGGAGGGGAATACCACACAGGCATGGAAAGATTTCCCCATCACAACCCCCCAAAAAAGGGGCTTTTCTCACTCTGTTGCATGTACAGAATATGACACCAACCCTTTTCTGATGCCATTTCTATCTCCTGATCACCAGGTTGTCACTCAGCCCCACCCTGGTTAACTGTAAACACTCCTGAAAAGCACGTTGAGAAAGCACGGTGTAAACACTGCAGAGGTCCTCCAGGGGCCTCCATAAAAATCTCTGTTTATTCAAACCGCTGTTGCTGCAAGCAATCTCCAGAGTAACATCCAGCTAAAGCCAATGTGGCTGTTTGTCTTATTCTGAGCCAACAAGTAGTTCTGTTGAAGTGTACAGAAATAGCAAATCTTACCGAAGTTGGATTTGCATTTCAAAGATGAACTGTTCTTTGGCAGCAGTGTCAACCTAAGAAAAGCCTATATTTGTACCAAAGAAAGGTAGAACCACTAAACACAGTCAGATGTGGACTCCCTACTGGCATTCAGCAGTAAACAGAAGGTTGACTGGATACAGACCGCTTGTAAACATCACGGCAGCGCACATCCGTCAAAACTAATGCACTTTTCCGTTTTCCTTCTACCTTTTTTTTCCCCCTGCATGGAGAGCAACTGGATTGTTTAAATAATCAGCACTGATGCGTTCTGCTAGATCACGACCACAACCGCCCGTTCCTCTCAGAACTGAAGTCACTGAACCAAAACATTTTTGTTTCTCCCAACAGGAAGACATGTCAGCTGATACAGATTGGTATCCTCAAAAGGTTATTTCAACCTTCTCCTTTATTATTTAATCCACTCTGTTGGTATTTGCACATTAAAACGACACAAAGACGCTCATAGCAGCTTTGAGAATAAGGTTAGCCAACCAAATGTGAGTTCTCCCCACAGGGTTCTGCAACAATTGCACTTGTTCACTTTTTTTCACATTAGAACAATAATTTCACTGGGATTTTATGTGACACCAAAACATCCAATTTTGCCTTTATCTTCAGCTCCCAGTTGCCTTCATGAGGCACCTTTTATTAAATAGCCTCTACAATTTCATCTCATTTGGAAAACCAGCTGTTCTGTGAAGGCTTTAGAGGTTTGATAGAGAACATCAGTGAAGATGTAGCATCAAGGAACACAGCAGATGAAGCATCTAATAGTTTTAGAGCAATACAGGAATGAACTAGAGACAACCAAGAGGCCCATTTTAACATTCAATGTTAAAATAAATGTTAACATTTAAATCTTTAGTTTCATTAAGGAGATGCAGCTGATATGGAATAGAGGGCTCCAGAGTTTTTAGCATTCATGTAACATAATGTTTGTGCTGGAAAACAAACACTGCATATCCCCCTGAACATGCCATGCCCACTGTGAAACATAGGGCTGGCAGCATCATGCTGAGGGACATGACAGGGGGTTCAAGTTAATGGAAAGAAAGATGGAGGTAAAAATAACAGCATTTATAAAAGAAAACTTGTCTTGTGTTTAACTGAGTCTTTTGAAAGAGCTGAAAATCATTGTTCAGATCAAACATTATGACAAAGCTTGAGCTTTTTGCAAAAAGAGGGAACAGATCGGTTCTTCTTGACATGCGAGGATGTCAAGAAGAAGATGTAACACTATTAAGATGTTGTTCTGCTTAAGGGGGGCTGAACATGAATGCGCTCCACACTTTCAAGATTTGTTATTTCTAAAAAACATATTTAGATCGTTTTCCATCCAGTTCATTATTATGCAGTTTTGTGTCGGTTTATCACATAAAATTACCACAATCTGCAAAATACATAAACATTTAGTATTATTTGATGCAGCTTTCAGAAAAGAAGCGTCACTCAGTGTGATCACATATCTAAAAGCACCCCCACCCGAGCTGTCTAAGCAGGATTAATGCTTCTCTGCAGCTGTGCCCAAGGCCTGTCATTATCAGAGGGATGTGTCATCACATTGAGCTATTCTGCAGATGTTCCTCACTGCTCTGCAGAGCGATGAGGGATTGATGGAGTTGGTTGTCAAACCGGTGTGGGTCATGTGGGGGCGGTGGAGTATACGTAAACCTTGGTTTTAGCTCCCTGCATGCTGTTCAGTTTGCTTTTCAGGTACTCTCTCTCTCTCTCTGGTTAGGCTTAGTTGCCTTCAGGCTTCTTTTGATTCTGTCTTTCTGTTGCATTCAGGAGTACAAAGTGTCCAGCTTTGAGCAGCGCCTCATCAGCGAGATTGAATTCCGCCTGGAGCGTTCCCCGGTGGAGGAGTCGGATGAAGATGTTCAGCACGATGAAGACTCTGCCGGCCAGGGGGTGGCGCCTTCCTTCGACAGGAAGCTTAAACACTGCAAAGTGTTTGAGGGCATGCCAGTCACATTCTCCTGCAAGGTCCTTGGAGACCCCAAACCAAAGGTAGCCATCAATTATTCAAATTAGTCAAAAATATTTATATTTCCAAAACTCACACAAAGAGAAAAGACAATTGGGAGGAATTTATTGATACAATTACATTGTCTTTGGCACTCAGACCTCCGTAGGAAACATGGCGCTGAGTTTGATTGATAGGCATGAACAGGAGTAAAGAACAGGGCTGTTTTCCCCCAGGCCTGAAACTGGTGGTGGAGTGGAGATAGATGAAGTTGGTCAGTCTGTAGACTGCTGGTTAGTGAGACGGTCTGCTGAGCTTTATGGGGAGATCCAGTGGACTGCATAAGCTGATACTAGAGCTTCACTCAGGGACCTGGAAGATGGAAGTCCAATTGGATAACACAGGTTGAGAAAACCTGTCCATGATGAGCAAGCTTGGAGCGACAGTGGAGAGGAAAAACTCCCTGTTGGGAAGAAACCTCTGGCAGAACCAGGCTAAAAATGGCGGTCTTCTGCTGGACCGGTTAAGATGAGACAGGAAAAGCAGTCAGAGTCCAGGAGAAATGACACTCTGATGAAGCTATAGCTACGATGTTGGAGGAGGAGATGGAGGTAGGTTCACACGGTGTCATCTGAATGAAGTCACACAAAGCAACCACCGCCTGCGCACAGGACCAGACAGTGCGTATCTGAGGCCTTTTAAGATGAACTTTGGATGTTGATTGGCTTTCGTGGAGGTGTGGTTCAAAGCTGATTGGCTGTGTCGCAGGTGGATGAAGGAAAGCAACAAGTTTCTTCAGTTGAACTTCTGCCTAGGCTCCATTAAACAAAGATTGCTTGATATTCTAATATTTCCTCAAAATTAAATAATTGAGGTTTTATGAGCTGTGAGCTATTATGCTCAAATTGCATTAAGATAAGCTTTGGGTGTGCTTTGGTGTCGCAGTGGCTAGCGCACTAGACCCATTTATGGAGGCTGACCCGGGTTCAAATCCAGCCTGTGGTCCTTTCCTGCATGTCTCTCCCCCTTACCTGTCCGCCTACTTTTCATAAAAATGAGCCATTAGTACTGTGAAAAAAAATTTATGTTTTCATAATATTCTGTTCCTGAGAGGCCGATACTGTTGCAATGCAAATTCTAGTCCTGAATTAATTGGGAAGTTGATGATGCAAGGAGTTGATATGCAGTCTGTTATAATAGGAGAAAAATCATTTTGCTGTAACACTCAGAAGCCTAATCATTATTTTCTTGTGCCATTGTGTTTTTTAAAGTAATCAACACATTTTTAAATCAGTGTCTGGTCATTTAGAATATGTTTTCCATCTTTTCCACCACAGGTATACTGGTTTAAAGATGGCAAGCAGATCTCCAAGCGGAGCGAACACTACAGGATCAGCCGTGATCCGGACGGTACCTGTTCTCTGCACACAGCGGCAGCCTCTCTGGATGATGACGGAAATTACACCATCCTGGCCGCAAACCCAGACGTAAGAGAAAAAGAAAAAGCACACGCAGACATGTAGCTGGGAGGCTGCAGATAATGCCCTCCGGCCTTGCTCAGGAAAAAGGCGTTGAATGGAGCAGGAACTCACTCACACCCTCAGAGGGGTGAAAAGTTCACGTCCGACAGGCTGTGGAGCGGCATTTAGCAGCTGTATCAGACACATCTAATTTCCTGCTTATTGTCTGACTGCCACTCAGCAGTTCATACACCGCCTCTCTGTTTGTCCTCCCATCACAGGGCAGGGTGAGCTGCACCGGCAGGATGATGGTCCAGGCGGTGAATCAACGAGGCCGCAGCCCACGAATGGCTCCTGGACACATGCGCAGGTGAGGACCCCCATTCTGAGACCAAACAAGCCGGGTGTTTTACCTAGTTTTGTGCCGTCCCCTGTACCCATAACCTCCTACATGAGTTTGTTTATTGATTATAAAAAGAAAGAAAAGAACACAACGTTTTAGAAAAGGTAAACACAGGAATCAAGATTCAAAAGGGAAAAAACAAAAACACTTCTATTAAAAGTAACAATCAGACATCCAGCTGCTGGATGGCACGTGCCAAGCTGGCTGCCCACCATCTGCATGACTTCTGCATGCCGCTCCTCACATTGCTGCACAGATTCAGAGCAGAAAAGGCTCCTGTGGATATTTACACAAGTGTTTGCCATGGGCTGAAATCACACTCTGTTCTTTGTTTAAACTGCTCATTCAAAGAAGAAAAGCTCAGTGTTAATGAGAGGGAAGGGAGCACATGTTTGTCCTGACCTTGTATACACAGTGTGTGCTCATATGAGCCCAGATAGTGAAGACCGCCACAGAAAAACCACCTGTGAGCTGTTATCACTGTGAACACGCCCCGATTAGACAACAGCTCCGGGTTGTTCTGAGCGAGCAGAGAAATCGAGATAATCAGTGTCTGACACTGCTTTTTGTGTAGAGCCCTGGTTAGGATGCAGGTGTGATGGTGAGGTCACTGTTGTTGCAGGAAGCATTCAGAGAAACACCTGTGGGTCCAAAGATCACAAACAGAAAGAGGCGTAAATAAGCGTTCTGTCATGAAAGGAACCGTTTCTTTCAGACATTTCCAGTTCTCCTTCATTAACTATGTTATTTCGTGGATCATGCCTTTATGTAATGTGTTCTGCTTATTTTGCGTTTTCTTTATATTCAATAAACTTCCAAGTTACCCAGTTCTTTCAAAGAAAACAGGTTTTAAAGCTCAGATTTGATCAAATATACGATACAAAGGGAAGCACAAGATGCAAGGAAGACAGTAAATCTGAGGACAACATAATCATCATCAAGAGGAGGAGGAAATATTTTGATTATGAGAATTTAAAGAAGAGAAGGGCAACATATGATTAAAATTTAGCATTCCTCTTTAATGTTAAATTTCTGGTCTTACTTTTCAAAGAAAAGATCCAAATTCCGTCTTTAAAAAGTTGCAGCCTAAGTTATGAGCTCAGTTTTTTGTCAAGTTTGAATGTTTAATTAGAAAGTTGGTAAAATGAACAAGAAGGAAAAGTCTTTGAGTCTGTTCACACAAGTTGAAACAAAAAAACATTTCAATTTCTATTAACCAAATAAAACTCAATCAATTCAATAGTTTTAATCTGTCATATTCTCTTTGTACACATCATTTATTTCTTCAGGGTAACATTCTCAATAGAGCTGTTCTTATTCACATCTATTCCTCCTTTAATTGAATTAAACAATTAATCTGACATTTTGGGGAGAAGGTTTTCTTAATGGGGCTTCCTCTGCCGATCTGCAGCATCTCTGTTCGTGTTTAACAAAAATCCAGGTTCAATTAAAAAATAACATCTAACAAATGTGCATTTTGTTAAGGAAATATTTAGCTGATATTTTGGATGTTATGACTTGTGTAAATGTTGAAGAGCAACGTGAAGTTCCCTGCCAGTTTCTGCTGTATTGCAAACTGAAAGCTGACATCACTCCTCGTATTCAGCCAAGCTCAGAAATTCACAAACATAAATCCGCCATCTAACTGTCTTGTATGAAGTAGGTGACGTTTGATGATGACTCCCAAATAGAGTCAGAACTTTTGAGTTTTAAATTCTCCCAAAAAGGAAGCTTTATGCCCCTTATGGCTTGAAGACAAACAAAAAAATCTCATCTAATAACTCTCTGCGTTGTCTCTCTCTGTCAGGCCCCGGTCCAGATCTAGAGACAGCGGTGATGAGAATGACAACATCCAAGAGCGCCATTTCCGCCCACACTTCCTGCAGGCGCCTGGTGACCTCATCGTCCAGGAGGGCCGCCTTTGCCGGATGGATTGCAAGGTAAGAACATAATCCCGGTTCCAGGAGAGAAGGTCAGATCAGTTGCTTCTAATATAAACCGTATGCTATGGGAGTTCTACTGGTCAGCGTGTTATTTCTAAGCCTAGGTCCAGCTGCAGTTTATTCTTATACCACCATCCTGCTCTTATCTGAAGGGACTGATTATGTTTCAATAATAAAAAAAACAAATCCCTTACCTAGTTTTTACTTTAGTGCTTAATATTGTCTGGAAAAGGAACAGAGTACCAATAAAACAAACCCGGGACCATTAATTTAACCCAGTCTGCATGGGGTTTAGGATCATATAATCCAGCTTTCTATAGTAAACGAAGGATCCTCTTAAGAAACTTAGAAAGACTAAAGAGAACAAAAAAAGTCCAAACCAAAAGGGATATGTTAATCATAGTAATACAGAAAGCTTTTGCAGATCCGCCCTTTAATTTAATGTCTGGACTGCTCTGAGGGAGGCTCCGTGTCAGCAATGCCAAGGAAACATTTCCCTTTTCTCCTTGGATTCCAGAAAGAAAACAGCTAAGAATAAACAAAGGGATTGAGGGCAGTTATACTGCTTACAATCATCTCTCTGTTTTCACCTAATCTTGCAGAATTTTCAAACGACTTAAAGCTTATTGCTGTAATAAAATAAAAATAGGCCCACAAGTAACTCGCTATATAAGAAAAATGAGCATAGAGTGCATGAGAATATTCTGCTCAAGATTCACAGCAGCGTGATGAGGTGATGTTTTTACACCTTCTTCCACCTGCAGGTGAGCGGCCTGCCCACCCCTGACCTCATCTGGCAGCTGAACGGACAGACCATCCGCCCTGACTCTTCCCACAAGATGCTGGTGAGGGAGAACGGCGTGCACTCTCTGGTCATAGAGCCCGTGACGAGCCGTGACGCCGGCATCTACACGTGCATCGCCAGCAACAGGGCCGGCCAGAACTCCTTTAACCTGGAGCTCATCGTAGCGGGTAAATGAAAGGGCTGCACAGGGGAGGCGGAGTCTGTGGGTGTGATTAATACCTTAAAAGTCAACCTCGGTTATGTGTCTCTCAACAGCCAAAGAAATGCACAAGGCGCCTTCGTTCGTGGAGAAGCTGCAGAACACGAGTGTGGCAGAGGGTCACCCTGTGCGACTGGAGTGCCGTGTCACAGGCGTTCCTCACCCACAGATCTTCTGGAAGAGGGAGAATGAGTCCTTCACTCACAACACAGATAGAATCAGGTTCACTTCTGGAGCTCTTGCGTTTTGATCCTTTCTGTAGCTGATATTTGGACCAGGTGGAAGTCACTGGAATATGAAATGTGTTTAGTAAAGTGAAACCCTTTGGTGTTAAATATGTTTAAACTTTGACCTACTACCTTGTCTCTGATCATGTGGGGATGCTCTGTTCAACCAATCAAATTTTAACCTTTTTTGTTGAGCAAACTGCAAACAGGATAACTTTCATCGCTTTATTGTCATGAAGCTGGACACTGATTGCAGCTTGATGCTCTGGATCTTATTAGGTGCTGTCGTTGTTAAAGGGGCTGAAAATTAATGCATTGTACACTTCAGAAATGTTGTCGTTTAAAAAATAAATCCACTTAAAGGTATTGTGGAGGGACCCGCCCCCTCTACTTAAAAAAAATGCATGTGCAAGAGCGTGCACTAGCCCATTTCTCCTTGTGCATGACCTGTTTAAAATGTGCTGCTCTCATTGCTCATACAAGCTCAGTGTGCACATACAGCTATATAGTGGACTTTAAAGCAAACTTAGTTAACTGACCGTTCAGACTGATGATCACTGCTTTTTGCTCCGTTAGTCACGTAACTCCTCCTGCACTGCGCGGTGCCTGTGACATCTTTGTTATTAGTCGCTGCTGTCGGGTATTGACAGTGGGCTGCTGTGACAGCAAATCCCATAATGCTTTGCGAGGAGGGCTCTCCGTACAAAGCATTATGGGATATATCTGCCTCTTCTGAGGCCTTTCTTTTCTTCTCATACACTTCATATATACTTATTCTCTTACCACCATCGGCCATTTTCAAAGAACCGTGGTGAGAAAGGTGAGCTTCTATGAATGTCGGAAACCATAGCTCACCATAGCCTGAAAGTGCGCATGTGCAGAAAATCATGACTAACGGGACGAGCATGTAGGACAGCCTTACGCAAACATATCACCAGAATGATTGGATTAGCAGGACCACTTATTGAGATGATCCACCTGGTCTCCTATACCTTTAAGTGTTTCCCTCCATTGTGCTGAAATGACATGTTCAAAGGTAACAGTGATGCTCTTTCCCAGCATGCACCAGGACAACTGCGGCTACCTGTGTATGATCATCCAGCCAGCTTTGAAGGAAGATGCAGGCTGGTACACCGTGTCTGCCAAGAACGACGCCGGCATCGTCTCCAGCACCGCACGCCTCGACGTTCACAGTACGTCCCAGCCGCTCTACCACTACCGACATTTTCTTCCTCAGCATCTAACTCTCCGTTATCTCCTCAGCTCAGTGGCAGCAGCCAAACCTCCCGAAGCCCAAGAAGGTCCGTCCCTCAGCCAGCCGCTACGCCGCGCTGACGGAGAGAGGGCTGGACGTGAAGGCGGCCTTCTTTCCCGACTCCAGCCCACTGCCCGCCGGAGGCCTGGTGGAAAGTGACGACCTGTGAAAAAAGGCCGTGGAGATTTTTGACTCCAAACCAGAAAAACCCCACCCTTAAGGCTGCCCCCCCTCCCGCTAGATAAATACAGACATCCAGGAGCAAAGACTGAACTCTGAGGAGGGAGGGTTCAGCTGTGCATAAACCCTTTATAGTAGAGAAACTCATTAAGGTGACACGGAACGTGATTGAAGTGCTTTTAATGAGAAAAGAGTTAAAGTGCCTCTTAATTCTGTAAAGATATAGAAAAACGCAACACAGATTCACTCTGCATGCTGTGGTGCTGCCAGCTGAAACACAGACTTTAACTGTTGGTCTTCTGTTGTGGCTGAAGGAAGAAAGTTTTGGTATAATGAAGGTTTCCAGGTTCAGAGGGCAGAATGTAGGTGGAAGAGCAGGTGGGATGAGAGGGAGCGATGGAAAACGCGACACACTTGAAAGAGGATGGATTCTTTTTGTTGGAGGTGTATATGAAATGTAAAGTCTTCACTCATGACTGGCTGCTGTGAAAGGTTTCAGAGTAGCTCTCCTAATGCAGCACGGATCGTACCATTTATTTTTCTATTTACTTTCCGAACCCATCCATATCTTCCAGTATATCTCCATAAAGCTAAAGCTCTATAAACATGCAGTACTGCCTTAAACCACTTTAACACCATTTCTTTGCATGTTCTTTCCTGACACCTGTATAGTGCCAAGCTGCTTTTACCTGGATGTATAAAACACAACTTTTTTTCAGTATTCAGGGGTAGATAGCACTCAAAATGATAATAAAAAAAAGAATTTAAAGTATATTTATATTGATCATTTTGTCTGTTTTTAGACATCTCTGTTGTATGGGCTCACATTAAAACTCTGACACATTTCTATGCCAATCAGTGCCTGTATATGGATTGTTCTGCTGATTTTATTTTAGCTGGTGAACAATAATAAAATTCCAGATCTGAAGAGAGTGAAATGTTTTTATACACTTGCAGCACTTTTTGATAACGGGCCTTGCAAAAGTATTCATACACCATGAAGTTTTCTCACATTATAAATGTACTTTATAGGTATTTTGTATAGTGGATGCATAAAAAAAACGGTTGTGCAAAAGTTAAAAGCAGAAACTGGTTATAAAATAATGTCCCAACTTCTTGCAGAGAACTGTTGAACTCATTATAAAAAAAAGATTATTCTAATTTAAATAATTTTGATTCATTATCTGAACTGTAAATAAAAATTACTGATAAAAAAGGCAAAATTTTATTTTTCAAATTTGAAGAATATGATTGAATGTGGTTACTGTGGGATGTTTAATAATATAAATCACACTTCCTTTATGTAAGTGGTGTCCTGAAAAGGCTGATTTATTATTCTTTTTTTTTCTAGAGTAGTGTTTGTGATTCTTGGGCTCTGATTACTTTAGCATGGATTCACACCTTTACAGCTAGTACTGTTGATTTCATGTTAACACAATAGTGCCCCAAAATATCATAAGGTGACTACCGTCTAGCCTTAATGCTGCTACAAAGATACAGACGTCCACCTAGACTTGCAGGCTAGAGGCCCAATCAGGGTCCAAATCTAAATCTTATCTATGGAAGCAAATGGTTACCATATTTCAAATGAAAAGGCATTTTCAGAAATGCTTTCTCATTTTAAGAATGTGGCTGCATTGTTTGACTCATAAATGAAATTAGTAATCAATAATCCTGTTTGCATTTCAATTTTCTTCTTCAAGACTGCTCATCCTTTTACTTAATTAAAATGAAAAAAAAAAGACATTTTAAATTTATTTTTCAAAATGTACCCAAGCAAATACATACCAAAATTCAATTTGAAATGTAAATTTTGAACATGAAAAAGCATTTCCAGAAATGCCTTTTCATTTTAAGAATGTGGCTACATTGTTTGACTCATAAATGAAATTAGTATTCAATCATCCTGTTTGCATTTTTTTTCTTCTTCAAGACTGCTCATCCTTTTACCCAATTAAAATGAAAAAGAAAAAGACATTTGAGATTTATTTTTCAAAATGTACCCCAACAAATACATACCAAAATTCAATTTGAGATGTAACATTTGAAAATGAAAAATAATTTCCAGAAATGCTTTTTTATTTTAAGAATGTGGCTTCAATACTTGACCCATAAATAAAATTAGTAATCAATCATCCCATTTCCATTTTAATTTTCTTCTTCAAGACTGCTCATCCTTTTACTTACATTTGAGATTTATTTTTCAAAATGTACCCCAGCAAATGCTGCAAGAAGAATAAATAAAAAATAAAATAAGTTATTTAATGAAAACCGGCCTCTGCAGCCCCTAAAAACGGTGTCAATAAACCTGAGAGTTGCTTGGGCAGGCAGCCTACTGGCAGGACAGCCGGACTGTCATCATAGTGGCTGCGTAGTGGGCGCTGCCAATATGCCACCGGAGTGGCTGATGGTGGCCGCTGCCAGCAGAGGCCACTTATTGGCAGATAAACTACTTCTATAGAGAACCAATCCTGCCATAATTAAAAATAAATACAGAAATAAATAGATGCTTAATAAATAAATAAGCATACAATTAATTGCTCCCAAAAATACAATAAATAAATAAATAAATGTAGGCAGAAATTAGATTATACAGTGAGACATAAATGTACATATTTCTTTTAATTAGCTTTTTTATTTATTCACCTTTGTAATAATTACCTTATTTATTTATTGTCTATTATAATCTTCAATTTTATTTATTTATTACTTTTTTTTTTAACTCTTTATTTATATGCATGTGGTAATATTTTTGTCTGTATTATTCTTTGGTATTTTTTTTACCTTATTTATTTCTGCCTGACGTTTTTACATTTCTGTATGCATTTCTGCCTCATTATGCAAAGGATGAAGGGTGTGTCTTAAGGGCTCAACCAACTTGGTTGGTCAGCATTTTACTGCATCGGTCAAATCTACAGGAGGAGAGGAGAGTCTAAAGTCCCGTTTGAAGTCAGCGGCCGTTTCTCAAATCATAAGAACGCGAGTACGGACTTGTGTCCTCGCCAAGTATGTTCTTGAGAAGAACCCAGGAAAGTCTGGACTTGGGGAGAACGGGAGCACGCAGCATAAATCTGGGTCAATTGGAAAAGAAGCGTACTGATGACATTACCACCAGCGATGGGACCTACGGCGTTGAAAGTAACGGCGTTACTAACGCTGTTACCTTGTTTTAGTAACGAGTGATCTAACTAATTACTTTGACAGTAACTACGGTATAACGCAGTTAGCATTGCAGACACCCCGTTAATGCGCGTTACTCAGGTCGCACAATTAACCTTTTTTCATGATAGAACTCGTGCGCGCCTTGTTATGAGAGAGGGGAGGATGAGATTGGCTGATGTATAGTGAGATTCAGTCTGTCAGTTGGGCAGGTGGGTGTTTCTGCTGGTTGGTGTTCACGTACAGCACACACAGAGAGATGGAGAGTGAGGAGGACTCCAGCAGCAAAACTGCGTTTTCCAGATGGAAATACTGGTGTTATGTCGAGCTGCGTTTCCCAATCACATACGAGTTCCCCTGCATCTCCGCACAGCGCAGGCGGCACGAGTCACCGCGCAAGCGACAGGAAACGCGCATGCTCGCTAAAGGCGCGCAACAGTCGCCCTGTGCTCGCGCCACAGGAGAACTATGGAGAGCGTGAATGATCAAATGATAGCCTATATGGAGAAAGGGAGAAAGATGGATGGATGGATGGATGGATGGATGGATGGATACTCTGCCTTTTCAACCTACTGTATTTTCTATTTTAAACATTATTTGATGGCCTTTGTGGCAGGGATGGAGATCCATATTTTATGTCACACACAGAGTATACATCTAGATAGATAGATGGATAGATAGATAGATGTTGCGGTATCTATAACAACCCAAACACACAGGATTTCAGAATTAGACATCCCCGGTTATTAATTTCATATACTTGCCAGATCTGAATGCCCTGTTAAAAAACGTCACATGGCGTTCCCCCCTGATGTCATTTACGTTGAGTTGCAATAAATGCAAAACTCTCTGCAGGTTCTTGTCTTTGTCGTCCGCTCTATTCAGCTGGCTTTGGAAACACACGGCGAGAAGGTGGGGGCCGGTGGTGAGGCTTACGGGGGCGAGAAACGCAATAGTTATTTTACTAGTAACTAGTTACTTTTATTGTGGAGTAACTCAGTTACTTTTTGGGAGAAGTAACTAATAACTATAACTAATTACTTTTTCAAAGTAACGTGCCCAACACTGGTCACCACATGCTCGACTTGTCTGAATCGAACCCAGAACCTTCTTGCTGCAAGGCAGCAGTGCTACCCACTGCGCAACTGAGCAGCGCAAATGAACATTTTGCCAAATAAAACAAACAAAAAAACACTAAATAAATAAACGGCATCATAGCCAGCGGTCCTTCACACACGGCTATGCCGAGAGAGGGCCGCTGCAGACGGGCTGTGGTTATACGTGGCTGCCGTTACCCTCAGAGCGCCGCTGGTTGCCATGGTCCGCTTAACTTCGGAACATTTTCTTTTAAATTATGCATAAAAATCGGTAAATGGGCCATATAGTGACGCTTAAATGTATATTATTCTCGCCTCAAATGATCTTAAAATGTACTTTTATTGAACAACAGCAACAGAAAAGAGAACTTTTAACTTAATACTCTGAGCTCTGTGAGAAGAAGATGAGCCGCCAACCAATGGGCAGAAGTTGACCCTCTAAGACACAACCCTTCCTCATTTGCATAATGAGGCAGAAATGCATACAGAAATGTAAAAACGACAGGCAGAAATAAATAGCATGGAAGAAATAAATAGGGTAAAAAAAATACAAAGACAGAATAATACAGACAAAAATATTACCACATGAACATAAATAAATAATACAAAAATTAAGTAATAAATAGATAAAGTTGAAGATTATAATAGACAATAAATAAATAAGGTAATTATTACAAAGACGAAAAAAGAAAGAAGCTAATTAAAAGAGATATATACATTTATATCTCCCTGAATAATTTAAATTCTACCTACATTTATTTATTTACTGTATTTTTGAGGGGCAATTATTGCATGCTTATTTATTTTTGGAGCATTTATATTCAAGTGGGAATGCTTATGCATTCCCACTTATTGTTGTTCACTTCAAATTTTTCTGACTCTAACTAGTCCCGCAGTTTTCAACCGATTTCAACAATTTTGGTATCAAAACGTTCAGCTTGTTCAGGAGAATTGTGCTATGTCTTTTGGTAAAGATATTTTTTATAGTTTTCGCAATATTCTGCTTTTTCTGCGTTTTTTTTGTCCCATTGAAATGCATGTAGAATTCTTAGATTTCAGCAAAATTCAGATACAACTTTATCATCTTCGACCTTTAACTACTTCAGCATACTTTCAGCTAGAAACACCATTCAACTTTTAAAATGTTTCTGTATCTTTCTGCTATTACTGTTTAACTCAGCTTTTTGCTAACTTTTACAGTTTTGCTTCAGTGAAGCTTCAAACTTTAAAAGAAAATTTTAAGATTTTCAGATTTATAATGGAAGTCTATGGACGGAATTCTTCAACTGCTAGAGTGCGTGCTCTAGCTTTTGAGCTGGTCTGGTTTTTCAGAACAAATTCTTCTCACTCCCTCATTTTTCACTCAATTAAAATAAATTATACATCAAAATGTAGGTATTTTTGTCAGGATTCAGGAAATCTAACCCTCATTTGTGTGGCATTTACAGTTTTCCGACAGTTTGGTCCAGACCACGAAGAAGTCCACACTTCCCCAATAGAAATCCAATGAGAGACTTTCCAAAGATCACAGACAAAATCCAAAACGATACATATTTTCGTATCGCTCCCATTTCTTAACTATTTGATGTACTAACAGGAAACTTGGTATAGAACATCTTCAGAACCTTCTAGCACTCACATTGAAGGAATTTCTTCAATATCATTTATGGTTTAGC